GACCAGTTTGGTTAGTGACACGAGCCACGCTTGGATAAAAGAGTCACAGCCCGGAGAGCCGCGTGGAGAAGCTCAAAACTTACGCGGTCGTCTTGACGAGCTTGACGTCCTTCTTCTTCATAAACTTGAGCAGCCGGCGCTTTGTGCGCTCGCGCTTGAACTCGGCCAGCACGTCGCCGCGGTGGGCGATGCCGGGCACCGGGACGGTGGCGACGACGATGCGGAGCGTGTGGGGCGCCCAGCTGACGGTCTCGAGCTCGGCCAGGCGCAGGTGGAAGTTGATGGGGTCCTTGTACACGCCCCAGTCGGGCGGCTTGACCTCGCTCAGGACCTGGTGCTCGAAGAAGTTGCCCTCGGACCCGTCGTCGACCTGGCCCGCGTCCACCCAGTGCCAGTACTGCGTGATGTCGGCCCCCGACGACCGCTCCGACGTCTTGACCACGCTGACGCGCCAGTCCACCTGCATGACGAGGTCGCCGCTGTAGCTGTCCACCGACGTGTAGCCGTCGTGGTGCACGTCGTCCGGGCTCGTGCGCGTAATGGTGGTCGGCAGGCCCGCGCTGAACGGCCGGGGCGGCTGTGCCGGGAGCTGCAGGGGCACCGGGTTCTCCAGCCGCAGCTTCTTGTTTGTTAGGGCGGGAGCGGCATGCTCGTTTCGGCGCTCAAAGTCTTCCACGACGGCCTGTGTGCGTCGGATGGCTTCCCTGTAGCTCTGTACCGCTTCTGAAGGAGCGCCGCCCGTGCTCAGTCGCGGCTCGGACGGGGGCACGATGTGCGGAGGGCGTGCAGGATGCATGGGAGGCGCGGAAGGCGGAGGAGGCGCGGGAGACTCGACTGGATTCAGGGCCATGCCCAGGAAGCCTGGATCCTTGGGGGCGGTTGTAGACATCAAAGTCTGCACAGGTATTGGTAGCGGCATTTGCATAGGCGTAGGGGTGCGCGCACGCATGTACGGCGCGGGAGTAGGCGCCGCCGCAGGGTTCGGCATGGGTGCCGGTGCCGGAACCGGCATTGGCATCAGCACCGGGAGAGAGGCGGGGTTCTTCTTGCTGGGCGTTCCTCTGGGCGTCTCGTGAGGCTCCTTGCGCTTCTCCGCGCGTGGGGGCTTGGGCGTGGAGCCTGGCGTATCTGTTGATGTGTTGATAAAAGAAGGAGATGGCGCAAAGCCTGAGCCCCGGGACTTCTTGCCTCCCGTGCCCGACGGCCTCCCGATGTTGCCGAAGCCATTCTTGGACCGCAGAAACTGCAGCTTGGGGTCATGGTACAGCTCCCCGACCACCTTGGACAGCTGGAAGCCGAGCGGGTTCTCCGACTGGATCTCGTGGAGGCGCTGGCGCACCCAGTCTAGGGGGCTGACGTCGAGGCTGAACTTTTTGAGCTCGGCCAGCGTGGCCACAAGCCGGTGGATGGTATCGTAGTTGATATAGGCGGCGTTGATGAACTGTTTTGCCACAAGCTGGTACGGATTGATCTCGCCGAAGCGCTCCGAGCTCCCGCGCGCGCCCAGGAACTCGAGGATGGCGCGGCCGCGGTTTACCTGCCTGTTGGCGAGGAACTGCGCGTGCTTCTTTGACCGTTCGCCCTCGGCCTGCTTCGCAGCGGCGAGGGCGTGCGCCTCGTACTTGCTCTCCCAGACCGCCAGGCTCTCCTCAATCTTGGGCACGAGAGGCGTCCACTTGGGATCCCAGTAGGGGTCGTTCTCGTCGATCTTACGAATCGGCACCCCCACCATGAGCTCGGGTGCCGTGTACACCTCACCGTTGTGCTGGAGCGCCAGTATGCTGCGCGTGATCTCGGGAAGTCCCGGGTCGTCGGCGTCGACCTGGCCGGCCCCTGTTTCGGACTCTTCCGCGCGGGGTGTGCCGGCGTCGGAGCCCGATGGCGATTTAGCGAACCGCCTGAACGGGGTCTCCCTGGCGGGTGCCGACAGCTTCCCATCCGGCAGGGACCGGCGAGGCGGCTTGTCCTTGGAGATGCCGTTCATCTCCTCGTTCCCGGCGTCTGATGCCGACCTGTTGGGTTTCCTCGGTGCCGATGCGTTAACCGCTGTGAATCCGCCCGTCGATACCTCCTCGGTCTCCTCAACTGGAGCCTCGGCATTCAGTATGGTCGGGAGCTGGGATGCTGGATTCGGGGCAGCAGTCCCGTGGCTGGCTCCGGCACTCTGGGCCTGGCTTGTTCCATCCATGCCTTGCTCAGGTGCAGAAGCCGGCTCCGGCCTCGTACGGACAGGCACATCTATGTCCATGGCATCGCCCACCGGTGCGACATCGGCGGTCCCACTCCTTGAAACATGGTCGGCAGCGTTTCCGATCCCATTCGCCCCCTTTGCGACGCCGCCACTATCCTCACCGGCAGCGTTCGCCTCGGCGGCGGCCATGGTAGCCTCCCATACCTCCTTCCTCTGTTTGTCCTCGAAATCCCACGTCTTCCTCATCTCGCGGCGCATGGCGTCGTAATTCCTCTCGATCTCCTTCGCTCGGGCCTCATTTTGCAACCTCAAGGTCGAAACCTCGCGCATACGGGACTGGAGCGAGTTGAGCTCGTGCAGAAGCTCAGCCTCCCTGGCCACGAACGGCGCCCTCTCCCTCGCTTCCCGGTCGTTCAAGTCTTTTTGCTCGGCATTACGTTTGTGATCGACCTGTTCCTGGTGTCGGCGGAATATCGACACAAAATCATTCGGCACATCGCCGGTCTCTTCCGTCGACATGGTGGTCGACATGAACCCCGATTACGCCTCAGGACCGTGACGGCCGATTATGACAGACCGCTAGAGGCATCAAGGGTGATGCTGCCTTGTGCCTATGCGCGGGTCTTGATCCGGAGTCCTCCAGAATGTGGCCGGGCGCAGCCGTCAGTCCCTCCTCTTACAACGCGAGATGCCCCGGGGGCGCCTTGCAAGCTGTGCCAAGGTTTTCTGGGAAGCCCGACGAAAGGGTGCTATTAGTTTCCGAGCAATCTGGTAAATGGACAGTCGCGCTCGGAGAATGCGCTAGCAGCGAACTGATGGCGTCGTGGTCACGCGCCGTCTGTCGCGCTCCCTTCACTAGCCGAGGTCCGTGCACTGGGCGACTTGGGTGGCAGCTCCAGCATTCGACGTGCAGCAAGAGCAGAAAACAGGCTCTGCAAGTTGGTAGACGACGGTAGGGATGGCGACAGTAATGTGTGCGCGAAAGGGTATAATAATAGCAATGGGCAGCTGGGTGATGGGGCAATGGCAGTCCCGTGGCACAGATAATATGTGCAGGGAAATGTGCGGCTATAGTAAGGAAACACGCCTGCACTTCGACTGGGTGGGTTTGGTTGACGGCAGGTGCAACTGGGTAGAAGTGCATGCATGGAGAATGGGCAATGGGCAGGGAGCAGCGGGGGTAAAAACAAAATAGAATTGGCGTGACGTTGGATCCATCAAGGAACGTGATTGGATTCCGAAGACTTGCAAGGGTGCGGAATAATTGTGACGAGGGTGGGCAAACAGAAAGGAGAAGAAATAAGGGGAAGAAGAAAGGAAAAAACGGCAAAGTAGGAAAGGTGACCGGATGTTGCCAGATATAGGCAATCGATTGGGTAATGTAAGGGCCATCAGCGGTTGCGCCATCGTGGATCCTGGGCGGGATTCTAACGACCCTAATAAGAGAATAAGAAGAATAAAAAAACTCAATCCCCTTGGCATGGCCAGAGACAGGGCGTGTTGCTGATGGGGGTGGTCGAAAGAAAACGATGCGTGGGGTTATATTAATCGAGAGCTGGCGACGTACCACAAAATTTGCACACTCTCCCTCTCTCTCCCCAGTGCTCCGTCTTTTTCTTCCTCTGTTCCCTCCGCAGGAGTGGGAGGGGTTGAACCAGAGAGGGAAGCAAGATGGAATCAACCTATGCAGAACCGACGTGGCTGTCCTGCTGTGTTGTGCTGACGAGAGGACTTGGCCTGGGCTTGACGGGTGTGCGTTAGGCGGAAATAGGTCGAGTCTTTGGGTTCGTCCTATATTCCTGGGTATCCTGCGTGCTGGGGTCGACTATATTGGGGTGTGGGCTTGGTGGTCCCCTCCTGGGTCGCTTCTGGCGTGCGCGGCGCGCGTGCGCAAGGTCGCAGCAAGCCGATCCGCTATTGGGCTGTGGGTTTATTTTTTCTCTTTTCGCTGCTGACGCTGACTTCGCTCCCGTCGGATGTGGTGTCCGAGCCTGGCCCACCTGTATGATGCCGCTGCTCTTGATGGCGCTGCTCTCGCAGGTTCGCGCGCCGGGATTCCCTCCAGGGTGTTCTTCTCCAGTATTGTGTCGCAATCGCTGTCGGGTCGTGCAGGCTGGCCGCAGGATTTGTCCTTGTCTGTGGGCAAACTTGGTAGGGGTTTGGGTTTTTTTTTTCGCCTGGTTTTGTCCCGGTGGCACGCACATGCAAATTTCGGAGGGGTTTTTTTCTCTCTCTTTTTCGTTCCTGCGGTTTCTTTTTCTCCCGCGACCCGTCGCAAAAGAGCTGAGCTGTTGGGACAGCACGATGAGCAAAGAAGAAGAAAAACACGAGCGAGTGTCGCAGGGATAAGAAAAGGCGGGCGGGCTAGGAGGCGAAATTATTGATTAAGCTTGGGATTATAATATCCCAGGAAAACAAATGGGAACGCGCCCCGCCAGATATCGGACGTTTTGCTTCTGCACCCTCGATCAGGCCGTCCCAGCCGCCTGTCTCAAAAGAGTTGAGGGCTGGTCGCGTTTTTTTTTCCTTCCCCCAGGACCACTTGCGTTGGTCTAGGCTAGACTGAGATGGGCAAGGATGCGGGTCAAAAATGACAGACTACTCCGTGCGTGATATCCATACTGGCTATCTGTCCGTTTGTCTAGGCAGCTTAGCTCCATGTGGCTTTTTTGTTTTGTGATCGCCAGAGATGGACGATTGGCACACTGTGCGCTGACCATTTCCTCTGCGTATCTCCCTGCCTAGGTAGTATTTGGGTAGGTATGTAGGTGGTAGTTATGTGCTTCTTTTCATGCGTCGTCCAGTGGCTTGATATTGTCACCAACCCAACCGCAATCGGGTGGCACGCCCGCAAAAAGACCCTCGCATATTGGTGTATTCCATCCACCCACCCTGGTCGCCCTGCAGCAATGGTCGGGCTTGGTGCTGAGGAAAAAGTGGACACCTCTCCTTAGACGGCTTTTATCTCCGTTTAGCAGCCAAGCTGGTCCCCCTCCCAACGCGAAGTATATCGATTTCTCGGCAAATTTTCAGCGCGGTATCACATAGCGTAGAGAGCAAACTTGGACAACACGTTGAAGTTCGCGACATGAATTAGATGGGAAGGAGGACGGAAAGATGGAAGGAGGACGGAAAGGTGGAAGGAGAAGGGAGCCAGCCAGTCCATCACAACCAAAGGTCCGTTGTTCCCAGGATATACCACCCACCCCTGCCCGTCTCAGGGGGGAGGGAGAAAGAGAAAAGAAGCGAGGACCGAACAGCCAACACTAGTCGCCCAAAACTACGACGGCCCACGACGGCCCACGACGGCCCACCGCACTGTGCCGCTCGCTGTTGGTTTGCTCCAAAAAGCGGCGTTCTGGCCTCGAATGGCTTGGTTGCTTGCGAGAGAGAGATTGGGGAATCGACCAAGTGACCAGACCCATCGGCGGCAAGGATTCGACTGGGGGATGCTTATTAGACCCACCCTGGGGATTCCAAGTCGGCCAGAATTGGAAATTCAATAGCCGCGCCGAGGCATTTTCCTTTTTTTGCGCCCGCCGAGAGCACAGCCGACGTTTTTTTTTTTTTTTTTTTCGCCCATCAGGTAAACAATACGCCCGGTTGCGGCACGATAAGAACCCCCGACCTTTCCGTGCTAGCCAGCAGGGCTGCAGGTGTCTCTGAGGGAAATAGGTCCTATTTCCTCCGTGCGACGTCCACTGGCGCACACCATTGGCCTCCCAAAGCCTAGTCCAAGGATGACGCGGGGGGCAGCACGCGTGTCCACCCTTGTCAGCTCAGAATGGAGCACGCTGCTGCAAACACGAGATGCTATTCGGCAAGGGGCATGTTCCACGCGTCAATCTATGTGCGACAACGGTATTAGGTCTCTATAATGCTATACTAACTACCACTATTTGAAATCCCTGGGATGTCCAACCAAAAACTAGCGTGCACAAATATCCAGAAGGCCAGATCCTTTCCCTACTTGGGCGCGGTCTCGCGCTAGGTCATACAGTGAAGAAAGAATTAGTAAAGAAAATGGGGAAACCCGGTACAGAAGAAGCGAATAAGCCAACGCCTAAACCCATAGCTCCGCCCATGCATGTCCCCTGCCAGGAGTGTGTCTTGCTGGTTTTTTTTTTCATGGCCCTGAAATCCGAGGGCACACTTGCGTGATATAACCTCCGGGTCCGCAACACGGAGCCCGGGCCTGGGCGAGGCGCCGAGACGCAGAGAAACTCCCCCACGACCCTACCCCAAGCCAGGCATTCGAAGGGAAGGAGAATAAACTGAGTAGAAACAACAGCTCCGAAGCTTAGTACTTGGGGTAAGAGCGACCCGGCGAGTTGGAGTAGGGGTGGTCGTAGCCGCTGGATTGGGCATATGGGTCATCGTTGTAGATGGTGCCTCTCCGCTCCTCCTCAGGAAGCAGTTCCTTCACCTCCCAGTTGTTCATTCTAGTTCCAACCGAGAACTCCAGGTCTTCCTTGGTAATAGAATCCCAATACTGCAGCGAACAAGAGGCGTCAGCGGTGCTTCCGGGGTGGGCGACAAGGACAGGAATCGATAGAAAGCAACATACCTTGTAGACCATCATAACACCAAGCAGATTGCACGTCGTTGCAAAGAATAGCCCATCCATATAGTGGCTGACTACTTCGCAAAGCGACGAGCTGAAGGCATACAGAATCACCTGACCAATGACGACAAAGAAGACGCCAAAGGCGATGTCGCCGAGGGGCCAGCGGTCTTGCAGCGTCCTGACCACAAGCATGATCTGCAGGACCACGTAGACGAACAGCTGGACGGCGTTGAGCAGATACAGGACGACGAACAGACCGATGGTGTTGGTGGGGCTCAGGCCAGCCCATGACTTGAATGTCGCGAGTGAGACGAGGAAGGTGATTGTGAAAGCAGCGAGCGAGCAGAGGCGCATCATCCACAGCGACAGCGGCGTACCATCCTCGTACAGCTGGAAACCGACGAATCCGTTGATGAGCAGGCACGTTATCAGAGTCGACGAGAGTCCGTTCTGGATCGCGACAAAGTATGGGTAAGGGGCCGATCCAGGAGGGATGACACCGGCGTCGACGCAAAGGGACAGAAACGTCAGGATCATGTAGAGGTAGAAGAAGTTCAAGATCTCCTTCCGGCCTGTGTAATCAATAGTAATACGACACGGTTAGTCACGGTCGCTTCTCGAGAGGCATCGGGACCCAAGATTCCCATGAAAAGCCACGTACCAACAGCGGTGAATTTCCCTCGGACATGCAGCACCATGACGACCGTCATACACAACGCCACAATGTGCATGGCGCTGGTGGCTCCCTGGAAGATGATGGTGTTTGCCAGCTCGATGCTGCGAGCGTAACAGTCGGGCTCAATCCCGACTCTCTGGTTGATCGCATTGACTGGCCCAACTGATGCGCACAACGGCAGGGGCGCCGTGTGGCATAGGTGCGTGAAGTCGCCAAAGCCCGACATGTCGTCGTTGGCCCGCGTCGTCGGTCGCGGGTTCGTTCAATCGATGGCGTCGCGATGGTTTCGGGTTTGACCAGCTCGTCTGTTCGACGGGTGTGGAGAAGATGATCCGCGCGGGGGACCTCTCGCGGAACGATTGTTGATGAGGGCAGGGAGGGCCTGGTGGACGGCGCGATTGTCGACAGCTCAATTAAGAGTGTCCTGTTGGCGAGAGGCAGCGAGAGGCAGCGGCGGTAAGCAGCGCGATGCTTCGGTTGACTTGTCCGTGGTCGTCGAGCGTAGAACGAATGCTGACCAAGACCAAAGGGACGTGGGTTCGGGCAGAAGACGAGGAAGAGCCCTGTCGGCAAAACAATACGATGGAGCAGATGGGTCCTGTCTCGTAAAGGGGAATTTAATTTCTGAGCGCCGCGGCGAAGGCAGCGCAAGCGAACCTTCGTGTGGGGATCGTCTCGTGGTAATTCCCACAAAGAAAGAACAAGACTCGTTTGCCAGACCAAGAAACCCAAAAAGCTAAACGAGAGTCGTCGGACAGACCAGGCAAAGGAGGGGGAGCGAATGTGTGCGCGGCAGAAACAGGGCCACGATGGAAATGGGATGTCTGTCTGGTCGGTCGGCTGGCCGAGTGACGGGGGGCATCGCGGGCGGCAGGAAAACAGGGCAAACGGCTCACGGTTGCTGGGGTAAAGCGAGGATGCGCCTGGGCTCACGCTTGGCCGCACCTTGCGCCTGACTCCCGCCCGCACCAAACTCAATGGGCGCCGCCCAATTGGCAAGCCAGAACCCCTCCGGATCTCCACCCCAACTCATGATTTTTTTTGCTTTCGCCCGAATTTCCCTCAGCCGTCACGAGCTGACGGCGCGTTAAGCCCAACGCGGGCTAGCGCCATGCAGGGGAGTGTCCTTCGCTGCCGGTATCAGCAGGAGCACGCACCGCACCGCCTGCAGCGACGATGCGGTCCAACAAGCCGCCCCCTCGGGTTTCGATTCCGTCAATGCTTTGAGCCGCCTTCCTGGCCTGAGATCCCGTCCGATCTGATCCGGCCCGTCCAAGGTGCGACAATGAGCAAAGGGTATGCCGGTTCGGCTGAACAAGGTAGATAGGGCAACGGCGTCCCTGCATGAAGCGAGAGTGTTCGGGTTTTGCGCCCTTCCTCACTCTTGGGTGCGTCATTTCACCATGGCCGAAACGTCGGCTGATAACCTCCCTTTTTTTTCTCATGGAGAGAGGCTCGCATGTGGATATCCATCCGCCTGCGTTTCTCAGCTTGACCTTTGTCACCATCTCTGTTCGATTCACTCCGCCCCAGCGTCCTCAGCTCGCCGAGGGGTGAGGAGAATAACACTGGACTCCGCCGCTGGACGCGCCTCCGTTGGGTCCGTCTGGGCGCCATCGGCGGATGAGTCGCAGCTACCGCCGGGTTATTTTACATCGCGCTGAAACCTCTCTGGACTAATCTTGGGGCCTCCATTGCAAGTGCGGCTACGAGAATCTGAGCGGGTACGCAGCCAGGAGGTAGGTTAAGCCAGCCGGCTGGCATTTTGACACCACGTGATCACGCTGTGCAGTCGCTCCTTTACACCCAACGCATGTTGCTTGTCCATGTTTTCTTTTGGTTGGATGTAATTTTGGGTGCTATTGAAGCCGCGCGCTGGAAGTTTCCAAATCTGGCATCTACTTCACCGCCACCATCTGGGCCAGCACGCCGGTGTCCACTCCCGGCGGCGGCGGCGGCCCCAGGCTTGGCAATGGCAATCATTATTGGGCCCCGGTGCTCCATCCGCATGCCGTGCCCATGGATTCCCTTGTCCTGCATGGCTGTTCTGTACCCAACGGGCCGCGAATTGGAGCGCGTCTGCCGATTTGTCAATCTCGCGCAATGCTTTCCACGCCGTCTTGGTTGGATTTGTGGTTCTTATTCAGCGCCCGACTGGCAATCACCGTCACCGCTCCGGTCAGCAATGGCGAATGACCACAAAATATCGAGCGTCGTTTTTGCTCCCGTCTTGTGCATTTATAGCTCTTCTTGGCGCCCATGAGTAGGATCGAATCTCGAGCTTCCTAGCACGCCCTCAAGAATTTGCTCCGTTTTCTCAGAGCTTCGTTTAGTGCACCGCCCCAAGAGACAAGACAGGTTGTTGATGTCAGAGACTGGCCCTCAAGCCACCCCGGGGCCCCCTGTCCGGAACCACCGCTGCGTAGCCAAGCATTACTGTCCGGTCATTTTCTGTCCGCTTTCCTCACTGGAATAACTCATGGATGCCTCAGCCTCACACAACTGTCCAAGGGACACACCCCTATTTAGTGTCATGAGTCGCAAGGTGTCAGTCACGGCGTTCGATGGCTCGTTCGCGCCCCTGGGTCGTCCGACAGAGCGCAGTCCTCTCCCTTGGTATAGCAACCGCCAGTACTTTCTGGCATCCTGGCTGGATGTTTCTATATGGAAAGCTGCAGTACGTTCATCTGGTTCTCAGTCCCCATGTACTCCCACAGCTCCCAGCCCAGATAAACACGATCAAATTGGCGTGGGGTTTGTTCTCGTTCAGAGAGACTGCCGACGTTGCGCCCTAAATCTTATCTCGGAGGGCTCTACTAATCAGCTTCTTCTTGTCTTGATACTTCTGGGTATTCAGATACTTGAGCTAGTCGGAACAACTTGCCAAGTCTTTATATCAGGGCAGTTTGCCGCAACTATAATCGGCTATGGCACGCCACAGATAGGGGGCTATATCGGCATCTTTAATATCTTTCTGGTATCCACCTTCATCTACGCGACCGCTGCCGGGTCTGGCGGACACCTCAACCAGGCCATTACGCTCTCGGCTATACTCTCGGGCATCTGTCCTCTTGCAAGAGGTTGGTTCCATGCATATTTCAAACTCGCCAAAGAATCTGTTTTCTTTCTCCATTACCGACGATATATACTCACTCCTCTCTCTAGGAACTCTATACATGGTTGCTCAGACCATCGGCTCTGGAATCGCTGGAGGGCTTCTGCGAGGAGTATGGGGCTATGAACGCTCCGTCAAGTAAGCTAATGACCTACCCTTTGATATTCCAAACAATACGTATCTTGTGTCAAGGACCTTGTGCAATATTTGTCATACTCCCCGATGTTGCACAATGGCATTGGAATATCGTCGCTCACCTCCTTTCTTGTGATGCAGGAACTTTGGAGGGGGCTGCTTTCTTGACCCAGCCCACGTCACCTACGGCCAGGCATTTCTCAACGAGTTCTTCAGCTCCTTCGTTCTTCTCTTTCTTGCCTATGGCGTCGGTTTGGATCCGCGGCAGGCCGCCCTGTTCGGGCCTCGGTTGGGCCCTCTGCTGGTTGGTGTCTCGCTCGGTATTGTCACATTTGCTACCAGCGGGATGGCCCCTGGATACGCGGGTGCGCAGATCAACCCGGCGAGATGTTTGGCGTATGGAATCGCGAGAGGCGACTTGTCTGGTTCGTTGAAGTGTTCCCTTGGTCCATCGCATTCTGGTACTTGTCGGAAATCTCGAGACTTTCGTTTCAAAGCTCTTGAAGTTGAAAGACAATATCTGACTTGAACTGCCCGCTTTCACTGCATGTGTAGACCAATGGGTTTGGTGGTTTGGACCGGCCGCCGCCGCCGTTCTCATCGCGATTCTCTACAACCTGATCCCACCGCACCACGCAGACTCACAGGAAAACACCAAGACGGTGCCGGCGCCGCTTCCCAAATAGTTTTCACGAGCGGGGAACGACGGAAGTAATAACTTGTCTGCGGTACAGACGCGGGAAATAAAACGCAGAACGCAGACAGGCAAGGCAAGATGACGACAGTGGCGGCAAAGTGGAGAGTTGGTAGCAATTTTAGGCGCATGGCCGAGTAGCGCAGGCTGTTGTGGCAGCTCGTTGCGTCGTTGCTGACGCGGGGGGGAGGGAGTGCCACTCACGTGCTGTGGCTTGCATGTGAAGCATGGTGCGATGGGCAACGCTGGGAGGCTTAAATTCGCTGTCCGCGGACACCTATGGCGGGCAGTGGTTGGTGGTGGTGGTTGGTGGGATGGAGGGGAGCTAGGGAGGGTGACGTTCCAAGATTTCCAGTCTGCTCACCGGACGAAAGTGTCCGGTTCGAGGTCGATGGTGGCTGCTGTGCGGCTGTGTAACCCTCTATTCCTAGGTCGATGAGCAATCTGAATTGCGTAGGCCCTCCATCCCGTGCTTTCTTATCACTGCGAGCACGGCGTTGCAGCTTGCACTCACCACCCCCTCACCAATGAATGGAGATATTTTGGCGAAAGGAGAAGGAGTGGTTGCAAATGCTGTTCGCATCCTCTTGGTGGTTGGAGTGGGTGGCAAGTTGGGAGGGGTCGGGGAAGGGTCCGGGAGCTGATGGCGGCGGTTATTTTGCAGCGGCAGACCTACAGTCAAGCTCTGAGGATTGTCAACCCTGCCTGGCTCAGCGTCCCCGGCAGGCAGACTGACAGGCAGCCGATGTTGCCACAAAACACAAAACAGGCTGCGTGGCTGCGAAAAAACGAGCCCCTCGGAATTGCTGCGGTTTGCTGCTTCGTCGCATCCATGCATTCGGCAAAGAACTGCAGTCTGCAGCATGCAATGCAGAAGCCAATTTAGCGCTGCAACCATTTAATCGGCGAGAGTTGCATGGCTGATATAAAAACGAGACATGCGGCAACGGTGTGCAGGCCAATGGAGGGGGCAAGCACTGGGGAGGCAGTCGGGTCCTGCTGAGGGCCAAGACCGTGGCACCAGCCTC